TTTGAGATAAAAAATTGTGCCTATTAATTACCTAATTTGCATAATTAGTTAATTTTTTGCTGTTCTATGGCTGTTGCACCGAAGTCTAAAAACCACTCATTGGATTTCAATGAAACTTTTAAATAGTACCCATCACATTTCAATGAACCTAAGACTATGCACCATATTAGTTTTTGGTAAATATTTATGCTTCTTAATCACCTAATTAACATAATTAATTAATACTGATATCTCTAGTATTGATCATCACATTTGAATAAAACTTGGTACATAAATGCTCTAGGACAATAGACAGCCTGATTAATTTTGGGTTAAAATCTGTTCATATTAATTCTCTAATTAGTATAATAATCAATATTTTTTTGGTTCTAATCACATTCCAATGAAACTTGGTACATTGTGCAGACCTTATTAGTTTTACACCTAAATCTGTTCTTATTAGTTACCTTATTTGCATAATTAGTTTTCAGCTATTCCATCAATATCTCAAGTATAAGTAATTTTGAATTAATTTTTAATGTGTCTCGAAAACTCTCAGCACACGGGAGTTCTTTCTAAGCTTTCTTCGATGTGATGATGTCTTTAATTCTCTAATTTTGGTGAATATTTTTGTAATTTTTGGTAAAAAGTGTTATTTTCGACTTCTTGTTAAAAACTGATTGCTTTGATACTATTCATATTGTTCATTTTCTAATGATGTCTTCAGTTCTTTAATTGAAATGTGCATTGCTAACAGCAGAGCTATCTCAGCCGATAGGCTGCTTGTTCTCTAATTTTGGTGAATATTTTTGAATTCTAGTTGAAAACAGCAAGTCAGATTGCTTTGATACTACACATATTGTTCATTTTCTAATGATATCATCAATTATTGCAAAGTACTTAATGTGTTACAAGTTAAATTTTGATAGTACACTTTCATTCACCTCTTGTTGTACGATAACTTCAAAGATATTTATACAACGTAATGTAATAACTTGATTTGCATTTTTAATTAAATTTAGTGAATTTCTTGTGATGTTATTTTATTAGATCATGGACAAGTTTTGAAAGTTGTGTTGTTTGTAGTAAATGGACAGCACAAGAGCAATCGTATTGATGTAATGTCTGTAGGAGATCCCTCTGATTCCAACCCAATTGTCAGTCTGGAACTTATTGTACTTGGAGATACCAAGTCAATCTTAGTTGGAACACCTACATCTCTAGTCAATCTTGACATTCAACGATGTAAAAACCTTTCATCATGGTAAGCTCAAATTTATAATATCGTAAGTATCGTGTACTGATTTAGCATGCATTGCAGATTTAAGTATGTAGAATGATT